GGTGAAAAGGACTTGTGCTTCGACAACCACTCAAGCAGAGGTATCAGAATACACAAAGTACTCACCAGAGTCTCAAACTGTGGTTTGAGCGTTGATCCATAAGCAATCAATGCTTCAGGTTCTCCTTCAGACAACAAGCGCACACACAGTACAGGTATAGGAGGTTGAGTTCCATCCTAAAAGACAAGGCAGATATTGAATGTATATCATCAACAGAAAACACTACAACTAACATACACATTTGGGATCAATATCAGTATCTGGGCAACTGCCCACCTACCCCTCCCCTAACACAACAACAGTCTATTGATAACAAGTCAGGGTTAATGTTGGGTTAGGGGAGGGGTAGGTGGGCAGTTGTCCAGACACTGATATTGATCCCACATTTGTACACTGGGAGCCAGAAAACTAAAGAACAATCTCACGCAATACCGACAAGACAGCTGGGCTAAATGTCCTTGATTTTAAACTTAGGACAAGATGTCCTACTTTTTTTTGTCCCTTTTGCCCCTTTCAAAGTGGTTCAATGTGTTGTCGTTGTTTTTTATCGAAAAAGGTCTCTTGGTATACTTAATTGAAAAAAATGAGGAAGGGGAAAAGAGTTTTACTTTTCTTAATGTTAGGTAGTAATATTTGGAGCAGCAACTGAGGAAAAAGCTGTCTCAACAGGTTTTTTCCCCAATTACAGCACATCATGCAGACTTAACAACTCTACAAGTAAATTGAGCAGTGTCTTGAGTTTGCACTCCATTTTCAATTGGAGTTTCTTTCCTAGAACAAACGATCATTGGAGAATATTCCATCATCCATCTACCAGATAATATTCCCAACATGTGCAAATACACTAGTATTTCTCCTTAATAATTATAAGTTGTCAAACTTCTATAAATACAGCAGTAGTGTTACATATTTAACCAAGAAAGCTAAGGTACCTTTTTTTCTGAAGATGTTAGTTGAATAGTCCTTTTGGGCCTCAATGGCCTCTTACCACCACTAAATAAATCAATATAAATTAAATTTAGGATTACCAGTAAGTCACTTTCCAGATCTTTATTTGAACACCAAGATGACAAGATGACAAGCTGGAGCTACTACAGTACTGCTCGCGTATACGTTAACTGCGCAGACAAATTTCATGTGCTCTGACGCAGGGTAGTCAGACGTGTATATACAATTTTGTGTATGTAATCCACATCTCTGTCCCATGAAGAATAGGAGTATTTATACCCCCCCCTGGATACAATGTTAGTCCATCACAAGCGACTTCTCCCTCTGTGCCCCCAAACACTACATATCGTTACAATGTAAGCTACCCTTACAGTTAACTGGTACCAATTTATCCTCCTAAGTGAAGAGAGGCACTGTGAAGTAAAGTTTCTTGTTCAAGAACACAACACAAGGACCTGAGCTGGGCTTATACCCAGACCTCTCGGCTTGAGCCCAGCATGCTACCCACAAGGCCACTGTGTTTCACAGTATAACAAGTCATGATTCCAGAAAACTACTTTGCAAAATTAATTTGTTAAAAGTCAAACCCAGGTGCAAATATGGATTAGTTAGTCAGCGTTCTTTCAAGGGGCCACCCTCCCAAAGAAACAAAGTGTCTGTTAACAGAGCTTGAACATTCAAATTACTGTATATCAACACTGTAATCTAAAGAGAAAAAACATTTTTGGGATAACTTACCCATTAAGTGAATATTCAAAAATATGTAGCTGAGCATCTTTTGAGGCAATAGCAATGTGAATCGGCTGAGGATAAAAATATGGTGGTGTAACATCAGATGCATGTACACATATATATGTTTGTTATTTGTTCTTTTGAATATATGAAGCTGTAATCTACTTCTTCACATCAATTTCTTTCTTATGAAAAGTTGATTTCAGATAATGTGTTCTGTATCGTTGTTACAAATACCTTGTTTCTGTTACTTTGTCGTATAACATCCACTGCTATTGGCTCATCTGTGATTGAAAGTGAGACTAATGCATTTTTATCCTGTGAGTCCAAGTTGACATACCTGTGACAGAAAAATACATGCAATTCTGTTAAGAATATATGAAAGTCATATATTTGAACTGCGGATAAAGACGTGAATGAAAGTGATCCTTGCAGTAATGTGCTCTACTGCCCAAGTACTGCACATTACTGCGAGGATCACTTTCATTCACATGTAATTCTGTTAGCTGATGAAAGAGTGGAAGAGAAAGAGAAGCTGTTGTTAAGAGCTTGCAGTCAGCCAAGAAGAAGAGAATTTTGCTACAGCAGCAGCCTTTAATTTGAGGTCAGAAAAATTCCTGATCTTAGTTTGCATCAGGTATTTCTTTTACTTACCATATGTTCATTAATCTATCCTGCTCTGCTCCCGAAATAAAGTACTGGCCACTGATACCATTATTTGGAATATGATTTGCATTTGAATCATGTGACAAGTTACTTGGGATGAACTGGAGATGTGTTACTGGAGATGCATGACCAGTAAATTTCTACAAAGAAAGAGACAAAATGGCAACATTAAGAATGGACAC